CAGGCGCAGTACTTTGTGCGCGTTAGACGTGTGGATGCGGAAAGATTTGTGGCAGGCGCAGGGAATCGTGAGGTCGTGAGTTATGGTAGAGGTGAATGTGGCTGTCACATTGGGATTGGCGTGTGAGCGGTCTCGCACGAAACGCTCGTTTTGGAGACGTGACGTGCAATTTTTGGAGGAAGTCTCGTACGAAACGCTCGTTTTTGAGACTTGACGCGTGACTTTTGGAGGAAGTCTCGTACGAAACGCTCGTCTTGCAGCCTCGCAGCGTGACTTTTGGAGGAGGAGTGTCCCACAAGAGTGTCCTAGAAGAGTGTCCCAGATTGGCGCGACCTTTGGACGACAAGTCCTTGCGTGTGTGTTCGGGAAACCCACATAGTTTGTCACACGTTCGACTGCAGCCTGAAATGCTTGCGTGTGTGTTCGGGAAACCCACATAGTTTGTCACACGTTCGACTGCAGCCATTTTGGGAGAGACGGTGCCCGCATCCCTGCTGTGGCGGGGACCTCAGTGTCGTGGAAGTGAAAAGAGAGCAAAAGAGGGTATTATGGTGTGTGCAAGCACTTGGATGACCACAGAGCATTGTGGGTTGTGAGAAAGTGTGCCAGCAAACCGAATACCACAGAGCATTTTGGCTTGTGAGAAAGTGTGTGCCGAGAGCGCGAGCGAGCGACAGACCGGGCCATGTCCGCTGGACACGGGGCGGCAGGTGGTGTAGTCCCCGCCGGGCAGGTGCACCCGGAGGCGCCAGGAGGCGAATGCGTGGGGCACGGAGGTGTGGCCTTGAAGTTGTGGGTGGGTCTGAACAGAGACCAAGACTTGCACCTGGAGCGGATGGGTCAGGTGGAGTGTCCGCAAGGACGGCAGGGACAGTGGTATTTTCCACTGAAGACCCGCGCGGAGGCCGCGGTGCAGAGCGCGCTGGATGGGCATGATGGGATGGCTGGCCGGGACGTCATTTTGCGCCCGATTTCCGTGACGCACGTGGGATTGCTGCGGATGCTGCAGTCGGGACACTTGTATCCCGTGGACGCAGACCAGTGGCGACTCTACGCACCGCTACGAGTGCCGGCTCCACGAGATGATCAGGGGCATCCGTACTATGCGGTGCACGGCCCGACCTCCGTGGCGTGAGAAGGTTTTTGAGTGTTTGTGCCAGGTGGTGAAGTCCCCGGCATGAGCAGGAGAGGCATGTGCAGGGTATGTGGTGGTGGTGTCCCCCGTACAACCGTTTGTGGCACAGTGCCGCGCAGCCGACGTCGTGCACGACTGCGCATCGAAAAAGAGCGCGAGAACGCGTTGATGTATGTTGTTTGAATTGAAACAATTTGGAGAATACGTTTGAGCTTCCGCCCCTTGTCATCGGTAGAATAGAGGTTCTGCGAACCCTCGGGTGGCTTTGACTTACATCTAAAGGTATATACATAAGAGATTATTTTTATGCATAGATATCTCTAGACAAGTGTCAGTTAGATTGCAATACTCAGAGGGTCTGTCAAATTTAGACACATGTGAGACGGGTTGAAGACGACAAAGAATGGAGTTAGAGAATGATTTTGAGCAAGAGAGCAGCATCCGAAGTGTTTTTGTGCTGGCAGAGCTGTTTACAGGAGACAGGATAGCACCCGATAGCAGGCTTGGTCTCCGACATGGTGACGTCCACGCACGGGGAGGTGGCAGGTGGTGGAGTCCCCGCCACGGGTGGCCATGAGCGTTCTGGTGACACCCTCATCGCCGTCGGCGCAGCACACCCGCCTGTGGAGGGTGATCTCTGCAAGGACATGGAGGGACCGCGCTGCGCCTGTTCGTGGGTTTGAGTGAGAGTCAAGCCGTGGAATTTGAGCAGACGGGACAAGTTCGACCACCGGTGGGGAGACAGCGATGTCGCTACTGGGCCCTGAAGAAGCGAGCCGACCACGCAGCACTCTCGGCAGCGGAAGCTTGGGGAATAGAAATGGGCACGGTGGTGCTGCGACCTGTGAGTCTCACCTATGCGGGCGTAGTGGAACTTCTGGAGAGTGGAAAGCTGTATTGCGTAGACAGAGAACAGTGGAGGCTGTACGACACTCTGCGGGCGACTGCGCCGCTAGACAGCGCGGGGCACGTGTGCTACGAGATACATCCAGCTTTCACCTTAGCGTGAGAATTGGACAGCCATCCGCGGCGTAGGCTCATCTGTCAATTTTTGAGCAACAGTGATCTGTGTGGTGGAGTCCCAAGATCACTGTGAGCGACGCGGCGGATGCGGTGATCTGTGTGGTGGAGTCCCAAGATCACTGTGAGCGACGCGGTGGAAGCGACGGCGAGAAAAGGCTGATCGACACTGTTACTTGGAAATGGGTGTAGGACCAGCAGTGCCAAGACGTAGGCGCTCATGTAGGGCACGCGCAGACATCACCTGAAGTTATTGTTGCTCGGATCAGTCAGCGTGCAGCTCGCGTCTCGCGCTCAGGCGCAAACGAACTGGATGCAGGACACCCGCAGGGTGAGGATTGGGACGAGGCGTGTGTTGGAGAGTGAGACAGTATACACAGCTGTCTGAATGCGTGCGTCCAATGCAGAATAGTTGTGAAAGAATCGATCAGACGTAGATTTATACAATGTATCGATTGCGGGAATGAAAATATCATGTGTGTATTTGTGGTTTAGGACTGCCTCACCACTGAAGAAGAGTAGTGTAGGAAGTGATCGCGCGCAACGGAGCACACCGCGCACGCACCGCAGGGGACGCGGGGACGGCTGGAACAGGAAGTGTTGAACGCATTGAAGTCTTGCTTTTACGTGTGTATATACATGAGAGACATCTGGTTCAGCTGAACGTAATGTAGCTCAGCAACGTCTTTATAAACCACAAACATATACACCTGGTGAATGTTAACATAATAGGGCTGAGCAATCTGAGAGTACTCTCGGGACTGTTGTGTTGATGCATATCAAAGAGCTTCTGAAAGTTGTGTTTGAATTAGAAGACAGCGCCTTGCGCGCGTCTTGAGGCGAGAAGATATACTCCGAGGAGAAGAGGTGGCTGCGGGGTGTGGGACCGGGGGAGTCGCGTGCGGCACAGTATAGAAAGGCATGAAGTAAATAAAGACATGAAGTTTGGATTTGATAGATGCGCAGAGGAAACAGCAGCATGCGTGGAATCATGGCGGCTCCAGCGGTTGGACTCGATGCAATACACGTTTTCATGCATACACAAGCGTGGCAAGCGGTACATCCAGAGAGCATACGAGCCGTGCTAGGAAAAACAGAGAGAGTCTAAAGATGTAGAGCAAACTTACCTGACAGATGTACACAGGAAAGGAAACCAACGGGCCAAGAGGACGACTTAACTCTGCAGTCTTGGCGCGGACTCATGGCGGGAAAGCGAGAGAATGTACAGAAGAGAGAATTTTTTTTGGAGCCTTGGCAAGAGCCTATTCTGAAAGGTAGGCGTGTGTCTCGTGGTGGAGTCCCGGACATGCTTCAGTGGGGCTTTCCGTTACACATGGAGATGCGTTTTCATGGCTTGACGTTGAAGCACCGCGTGGCGCGGGAGTACAACTGCACTGTGGCCTTCCGCTCACGGGCGAGTGACGGGAGGTTTGCTGGGCACACCTTGCCCGCATACCTGACGGGCGCTCAGATGAAGTATATGAAGATGACGGTGACGGTGAATGATGGAGTGACGAACGAGATGACCCGCAAGCAGTTGCTGCGACAGGTGGAGGGCTTCCTGGACGCGCTGGTGTTGGAGATAACTGACCGAAAAGTCCTCGAACAGATAGAGTCAGAGATGTGCGAGAGAGGCTCGAGACAGCCGTCACTGAAATGTAGTTTATGTTTTTTGCTTTTATTTTATGG